ATTTTCTCTTTATACCATATTACGGTAATATCTGGCTGTCTTCATCAGTAAGTACGACTGTGTCTGCCATATCGACTCATTTACATAACCACACTGGTTTCTGGATGATCCAGTGCCCAGTTGTAAATGTGGAAATGGCAACGATCATGTAACTGCTTACTATATCGATACAATATTACCGTCAACCATTCGAATCTGACACTATTTGGTCTATTCATGTGCAATTGAAATTTTGGTTCACATGACCAGAAATTCAAATATTGAAGTAAGCCTCTAGCTTAAACCTAGATGAAAGATTACTCTTACCTGTGGAGCAACATTTGAGCTTCCTTCATGGTAAACCCAACCATTATTTCATATTATCTGTATCAGAGCAGTTTGTTTGGATTCGAAAGCCATTTGAAGCATCTTCAGAAGAATCAACTATGAGCTTTATTTTAAAGGAAGAGATAGGATTCCTGGATCTAATGAGTGATCACACCCTGGAGTTCAAATTCGAAGAGATTTCATTATTTCAATTTTGTCCAGAAGTGAAAAATGAATATCCCTTGATCTCCAATCAATCATTGAAATGTTGAAAGTGTGCTGCAATCTGAAAGGGTGTGGGAAGCATCAATGACCTACCCTCTATCAGGTCAAAAGTGAAGATGTTCACTTATTATAGTATCGTGTGAGGTACCATTCACAGTTTCTTAGACACTGAAGCAGTCTGTGAAACACTGAAGTACAATGTAACAAAACTGGGAAAACTGGGATTTTTAAAATTTTTTCACAGGATGTGGACATTGCTAGCAAGATCAGCATTTGTTGCCCCTAATTGCTCTGGAGAAGATGCTTTGAGCTGTCTGTTGAACCACTGCAGTTCATTTGGTGCATGTACATCCACATATTGTTGGAGAGGGAGTTCCACTGCAATGACATTGAATGAAAAGTGACATACTTCTAAGTCAGGATGATGTGTGACTTGGAGGAAAATTCGCAGTTGGTGGAGTTCCAATGAATCTGCTGCAGTTGGTAACATTCCCATGCTTCTGCTGCCTTGTTTTTCTTGGTGATAGTGGGCACTAGTTTGGAAGGCGGCTGTGGTGCAGCATGAAAATAGTACATTCTGCTGCCATTGTGATTCGTTGGTGGCGAATGTGAATGTTTAGGTTGGAGGTTGGAGTGCCAATCAAGCTGGCTGCTTTGTCTTATAGTATTTGAGCCACTTTAAGCAATGGAATAGTCAGTGGGATAGATGGCAGATGGTCACTTATTGTCTGCAGACTGTGAAGACCAGAAGAGACAGAGTTGCACAAGAATGACATGTGCAGTCAAGATCAGTAAATTCATTTTCTCATGTCCTTTTGTTTAAAAGAAAATATTCATGGAATATTAACATTGACGCCAAGGCCTGTATTTGTTGCCCATTCCTAATTCAATGTGGCAATGAGGCGCTGCCTTGTCTATTTGATAAAGGCACAACCGGGAGTTGTTAGAGCTGCTAGGTTTTTGTCCCAGTGATGAAGGAACAGCAATGTGGTTCCAGGTTCATATTGTTGTTGGCTTGGAAGGCAACTTGGCGCATACATGCATTATGTGGGTTTGGACAGTGCTGTTAAAGGAGTCTTGTTGATTGCTGCAGTGCATTGGAAGATGGTACACACTGCAGGCGCTGAGTACTGGGGCAGAGGGAGTGAATATTTAAGGTGGTGGGTAGGATGTCAATCAAGTGGGCTGCTTTGCAGTTGATGGTGTTGAGCTTCTTGAGTGTTGGAGCCACATTCATCTAGGACAACTGGAGATTATGGAGGGAAGGGTGTCACAGGGGAAGAGGCATAGGGGATGTTGGCATCAAGAATAGGGTAGTGTCACTGACTGGACCCCACTTTCAGATGCCAAATCACTCGATTAGGCATTGAGTGTCTTTGAACATAGAATTCCCCAGGAGCATATAGCTACACATGCAGAATTTGTTTGTCGAAATCCTGCCAAACATTGGGCATTAATTGCATGTTGACAACGGCTTAATCAGCATGAAGGTGGAAAGGACAAGATTCTTCCAATTAACATAGAAGATAGGAGTAGACCATTTGACCCTCAAGCCCACTGTGCCATTCAATGTGATGATGCCTAAACATCGAGTTCAATACCCTAAACTGGCCCTCCTCCCATAAGGAACAAAAACAAAGTTGCTGGAAAAGCTCAGCAGGTCTGGCAGCATCTGTGAAGGAAAAACAGAGTTAACGTTTCGGGTCCGGTGACCCTTCCTCAGAACCCCTTCCTCCCATATGCCCAGATCCCTTTAATCACAAAAGCTTTACCTCTTTCTTGAAAATACAATGTTTTGGCCTCAACCACTTTCTGTGGTAATGAAATCTGCAGACATACCACTCTCTGGGTGAAGAAATTTCTCTTCATCTCAATTGTAAATGGCTTATCCCTTATTATTAAACTATGACCCCCTGGCTCTGGACTCCACCACCATTGGGAACATACTTCCCACATCTAACCTGTCTAGTCCTGTTAAAATTTTATACGTTTCTGAGACACCACCCCACCCCCATTCTTTTAAACTCCAGTGAATACAATCTTAACCAACTCAATCTCTCATCATACGTCAGTCCTGCTATATCATGAATCAGTCTGATAAACCTTCGCTTTAGTCCCTTATTTGCAAGAACATCCTTCCTCAGATAATGGGACCAAAACTGCATACAGTATTCTAGGTGTGGCCTCACCAGTGCCCTGTATGATTTCAGCGAGACGTCCTTGTTCCTGTATCCAAATGCTGTTGCTATGAAGGCTGCTGTACTGCCCGTTGTATACCTGTGTGCTTACTTTCTTTGTTTGATGCATGAGGACACCCAGGTCTTGTTGAACATTCCTCTCTCTCAAATTACAGCCATACAAATAATAATCTGTCTTCATATTGTTGCTATCAAAGTGGATAACCTCAGATTTATCCACAAAACACTGATTCTGCCATGCATTTGCCCACTCACTGAGCCTGTCCAAATCACACTGCAACATCTCTGTAACCTCCTAACAATTCACCATTCCACCTAGTCATGATGAGATTTCTTTGCATATGATTATCAAACAAAGTAGGGAGTGTGGGGAGATGTGCCATGTAATTTAGGAAGGAGAATTTATTTCATTCTTACATGGAATGTGGACACTACTTCTAGGTCAGCATTTATTGTCCATCTGTAATTGTCCAAAGGCAGTTAAGAGTCAATCATATTTCTGCAGAGTCACATTGAGGCAGAGGAGGTAAGGATGGTAGATTTCCTTTCTCTCTCTGAAGGACATTGGTGGACCAAATGTGTTTTTTTTTTAAAAATGTCAATTGTACCAGATTTTTATTCCATTCAGATTTCAGTATCCGCCCTGATGAGATCCAAACCCACATCCTTGGTGGTTTTGGATTACTAATCCAGTGATGTTAACACTAAGTCACTGTCTCCCTCATTTAAGAATTTAGAATGGTTGTTTAAACAGCCCTGGATGACATTATTTCTATATATAAAATTATTCATTTAGATTACTTTCTACGTGTCACTATATTTGTGCATTTATCTGAATAAAAGATTTTCTTTAAGTGTGATCTCATCAATTAATTGCACTTGATTTAAGGTGACTCCGCAGCAGAGTGACCACAGATACTTTGAGGTATTATGTTGCTACACTGCACGCTTCTTCCACAACACTTTTTTTGTCTATTCATTCAGGTAGTGGTCTTTATAAGGAGAATTCATTTCTTAAAATTAAAACCCTGTGTTTTATTCATTGGCTTATGTGAGCTAGCATGCTCAGTTTTAACAATTCACCTCTTGTAATGTAAAGCTTTCAATGAGTATGGTCCCAATCATGATGTTTACTCACCAGTTGTTAAGCTAGAAAATAGTACAAGTTTGCATAAGGTTTAAATCTGATTTTTCTTTTACAATTACAATAAAACATAAAATTAGGGACAAACTGTCCCCTGCAATCCAATGTTACAGTATATTCTACCAACAGCATCCAAAGTAATTTTAAAAGCAGGACAAATAGAAGAAAGACACTTGGGGAGTTCTTCTAATGTCTTCTTTGGTTTCTTGACCAGTTTCAATCATCTTTCTGGCCCTGACTAATGTTTAAACCATAAATGACATGAAGGCAAGAAGTAAAAAGTAAAAATCAAGAAACGCAGTCGGGCTCTTTTATTACTGGAGATAGATTACATGGGATACAAGTCCCTTTGTTTCCCCCAAGCTCACTTGCCCCTGAAGTAGATCAATGAGAATCCCATTGGTGAGAGCTTAACCTTTCTAGTTATGTCAATAGGGAATCTGTGTTGACAGCTGTGGTTCAGTGGAACTTTGCAGAATACATGTCATTTGTATACCACAAACTTTTTCAAGGAAGGTATCAGGGCTGATTGTTCATAAACATTTTATAATATTGAGAAGTTACTTAAATGTGTGCAGTGGTTTCTGTTCTAATACAAAACTGTCTGAAACACTTTCTCATTACAGCACCTCATGTCCAAATTTGTAATAATTGTTGAGATTGTGTATGCTCATATTTTTAACTTTAATTGCTTGTGAAATTTTTTTAATGTCCATTCTCCGTGAAAGATTGAAAGTTGTTTAACTTATAATTCTGCTTTTGGAACACATTTTTTGTGATGAGCAGTTGAATACAAGATTAAAATTGTGAAAGGGGATAGACGAAACATGTGACTGTAAAGATGTGGGAGACTATTCATTTCCAGTTGTGCAAACACTCGATAGTCTACCAGCACAAACACTAGTATTGACAGGCCAGTTGGCTGAATGGCCTGTCATTGTGACGTGATTCCTCTTTAACTCTGTAACTAACATGTTTACTCTCTATTTAATCAGATTAAAATACCGATGCATGCTATAAAGAGCCTACTTTTTTTATTCCTTTAGATATTAAACTATACAGCTGGAAATAACACTTCCTTTGTTTACATATAAAAACCAAAAGTTGATTTTTATTTTCTTTTTCAGTTTTGGAGTTTATGTGGGAATGCTTTGACGGCAAAACGGGGTGTGTTTGGTAAAACTGGAGAGCTCCAAACTATTTTGTGCCTAGCATGTGCACGTGATGAGATTACTTATTCAGGAGCACTAAATGGTGATATTTATGTATGGAAAGGGATTAATCTTGTGCGGACTATCCACAGTGCACATGGGGTAAGTATGTGTAATGAGAATTGTATTGCTTTTAGTTTAAGAAAACAAAATAATGATGTTCATTCTTTTCAAAGCGAGATATCAAATAAATGGCAAACTTTGGTTTTCAAAGTTTGAATATGACTGAGAATTTAGATTAAGGCTTTGAGCAATTTACTTGCCATTTACTTGTTGAAATTTAACCATTGATAATAGACACCAGACCTTTCTAAATGTCTAAAAGAGAAATGGAGATTATTGAAGTTTTCAATGTGTGATTGTGTGTTGACACGTTTATGATCACTGGCAAAGCAATAATGAGAAATATAAGTGATTAAAATAAATGTCAAAGACAATCCAAAAATATAAAATGCAGCTGGAACACCTGGTTGATAGTACATCATCCTAGTAGCTTAATTATCTTATCTAATCATTTCTTGTATCTCTATTATGGAAAATCCAGCATAAACATTTATCCCTCAACCAAAACCTCCAAAACCAGATTGTGCTCACTAAACCAACACTGTACCTATGGGACTTTGCACGGTTCATATGGGCTATCTACTTATCTACAAAGTGCTTGTCTGCAAAGCCATAGTAAATATATTTCAGAACTAATTTTCTCTTTTTCAGTCCTTTTTTCTGTTGTATTTTCAGTCTTTAGTCAGTGTGCTCAGACTTCCTTTTGCTTTGTTTTAATAAAAACTTTTGAGCACTCAGTTCATTCAAGTCAAAAAGTCTAATCAGTTAAGTCGCAAGCACGGCATTTTTGTAGTTCAAGTTTTGTGTACTGTTGATGCCATACTTAATTATATGTTACATATCATCATCAGTGTCCTTCCATTTGCATGAGATAGCAGAAATACAGCAAAGCAAATCTATTGGGGAATGTGGTAGCTTAAGATGATGTATTTTTGCTGAAGGCTGAAGAAACCAATCCATGAGAGGCAGTAACTTCTGCAAATGGTGCATATGAAGTTGTTATTAGATGTTATTGAGTTGTCATTTCTGATGTTGACACCTGTTGCAAAGCTGCCGTGCAAAGCACTTGATAATCATGGAGGCATACTCTAGCAAGTGTCTCCCAGGCATGAGAATCGATGTTTAAGGCCTTCATGTCACAGTTGCAAAAATTTTGAAGCGGAGTGCTTTGGGAATCCTATTGATCGTCTGTCTCCAGCTACCTCACCAAACAGAGAATCCTTCAACGTGTGACTGTCTTCCAGCAAAGTCACATCTGTTTGAGGAGTGCTCACATACTTCAGAACTTTATCTTGGATGGGAATGTTCTGTACCTGATTTTGTCTTCCATTAGGTACCCAGAATTTGCTACAAAGTGAAGATTGAAGTTGTTGAGCTTTCTTTCTTGTCAGTCGTAGGTCATCATTATTTTATAGCTGTACAGCTAGGGAGCTTAGAACAGAAACCTCATAAACCAGCATTTTGATACTAAGAGTCAGTTTGAAGTTATTTCATGCACCTTTCAAAGATCAGTGAATGGTGATGGATGTGTTCCTAATATGTCAATTATGATCTTCATCAAGAGACAAATTATCTGGCATTGTGGACCCAAAACATAAGAATTTGCTATCCACTTCCAGCAGGTGTTATTTAGTGTGATTGAGGATGGAGATAGACAGACACTCTATCCCATGAAGGTGGTTTTCTATATGCTTCTAGTGGGGGAGAACAACTTACAGGTTTTGGAGAGACAAAACATCAAAATTGATAAGTTTCCATGCCTCACAAGTTAAAGTGCAATATTATTGGTAGTTATTTGTAAGTGCAGGTAACACAAGTTGATTATGTGTGATCTGTTGAATTGCCTATTTCAAGATAGTCCCTGTTTTGTACTGCTGCAATAAAAAGTTCATATTACAAATGATAACCATAACACAAAAGTGATGTTTTATTTGAAATTCATTTAGTCAGGAATCTTCAGTATGAATGCCTGTGAGGAAGGATTTGCCACAGGAGGCAGAGATGGTTGTGTTCGTTTGTGGGATTTAAATTTCCAGCCCATCACCTTGATAGATCTCAGGGAAACTGATCAAGGATACAGAGGTAAATTAATAAACGTTTGCTTTTTCTATCTAACATCAATATTTATTAATAAGACTGCATGTAGTATTGTATGGGTGGACATTTTGCTTTAGCAATTCAACAAGTGACTTTGAAAAATGTTTGTGAGAATGTTCTACAGTCTCTTGCATTTTAATTAAGGAGCACTAATATATCTGTGTAGGAGTGATAATATGTTTGACTAAAGATCCTGTGATTATTTTTTTGGGCATTACTGTTGAGTAATTCTCTTAAAAACAGTTCTGACTTTGAAAGAGTAAAGGAGGTTGGTCTCACATACCCTCACTCTAAAAATATAGTCTTAGTCTTGACTTGATAAAATATCAACATTCTGAGATGCTTTTGTGTAAAGGAATTTAACTTTCCTAAATCACTTTGTGAGGAACAGTGAACAGACCAGTGAGGGAAGAGAAAATGTGTTGACAAATTTATCCTGTCCGAAGCTTGGTAACAAGCATTGATGTATCAAAGATGATCTGTGGACAAAATAGGCATTATTGCCTTGTCCCCAGCCAAACTGAATTCCAAAGCAAGAAAAAAATTACAATCCATAACTTTGTATCGTTATCAGCAAATGTGTTGCTATACCAGGAATATGAGTTAATCTAATTTTGCTTATATGCAAAAAACTTGTGGAACCTGACACCTCCCAAGGACCTGGGCAGCAGAAAACCACAACCTGAAAGGTCCCTTCCAAGTCTCTCACCTTCCTGAATTGGAACTGTATTGCCATTCTGTTGTTGCCAAAAGGTGACAATGCTGGCATTCCCTTACTAATAGCACAATGGGTGTCCGTACAAACCAAGGACTGCATCGGCTCAAGAGGTAGCTCACCATCAACTTCTACAGGTCAAGTGGGGATGCGCAATAAAGTCAGACATGTCCACATCCCATGTATGGAAAAAAAAGTGTTAATTGTAAACAGGTTGAACATCTTAACCCAAGAGTTAATTTCAGTTTTACCTTTTTTGAAATCTTACTTGAGTGTTTCTCCCTTGGTGCCTTGACTGGGCAAGATTGAAGATGCAGAAATTTTACCCAACGCATTCAGCACAAGTCCAGTTAACAAAAGAATAATTTTTAAAATTCAGTGAGCAGTCTTATGATCTAATCAGTGGCAACTTGAGCCAGTGCAAAGTGCAGAAGATAGTTATAGAGTCATTGTCATACAGCACAGAATCAGGGCCTTTAGCCAACTTGCCCATGCGGGCCAGATTTCCTCAACCAAACTTATCCCATTTGCCTGCTTTTGGCCCAAATCCCTCTAAAGCTTATTTATCCTGTCCAAAAGTCTTTTAAATGTTGTAATTGTATCTGTCTGTACCACTTCCTCTGGCCACTCATTCCATATACGTACCACCCTCTGTGTGAAAAAAAGATATTTTAATTAAAATTTTTTTCATATGTTTGGCTATATTTTTGTTGTGTGCCTTCTGAGGTATCTAGCCTCCAGCTACTGTGCACCTGTGGGTTAAGCATTAACTTGGCCAAGTGGTGACTATCTTGCATTTCAATGAGAAGATTTTGGGTTCAAGTTTTGTGTCTGGATTCTGTGTATAATCAACTGTAAGGTTCCTTTTTCAGATGAGTTGTTAAATTGAGGGTATGTGTGCATGTCTTGACTTTAAAAAGATCCTATTGCTTTGCTTGAAGGGTAGGGATGTTCTTCTGCTGATCTGCCAAATACCTATCCTTCTGTTATCACCAAACTGCAAATTACTTTATGCCATGTTTGCCAACATAATAAGTAACTAATTTATTGGCTTCAGAATGTCTTGGTTTGTTCTGATGGTACAATAGATGCTATATGTTAGCATCTCCTTTCTTTAATTATCACTTACAAATGTATATCTGCTAACAAGCAAATATACATGGAATATAGAGATAACAAGGTGTAGAGCTGGATGAACATAGCAGGCCAAGCAGCATCAGGGGAGCAGGAAGGCTGACGTTTTGGGCCTAGACCCTTCTTCAGAAAGAAGGAACATGAAATATATACATGGAATATATATAGTCAGAATAAATTAAAATGGCAAAAATGTACATTTGAAGAATGAGTAACCAACAGCTAATTAGGCAATTGAAGCTCTCTTTCTGATATTTACATTATTCAACCCTCATGAATGTACACAACTAATAGAAGCATAAATTAAATGTTTTTAAAAATACACAATTCTGAAGTAATTTATTCATGAAAATGTTTGGCATGGACTGGTTTCCACACTGTATCAATCTATTACTCTATGACCACAAAGAAAAGCAGAAGAATTCTTTCCAATCTGCCAAATTGAACTTTTCCTCAAATCTGAAAGCCTAAATTTCCTCAGTGCTAACAACATGGAGATTTCTTGCAAGAGAAAATTGCTTGCAAGAAGTTTCCTTTTTCTCACCTCTCTTGTTGCCAGGGATTGCACTGAAGGATTTATCTGAGCCTTAGATTTAAAACTACTCTGGAAAACTTCACTAGAAAGAGACAGGCAGACAGACAGAGAGAGAGAGACAGACAGAGGTTTCTGGAAAAAGAAATTTTAAAAGACTTTGGTTAGAGGAAAAAGAGGGAACTGAGAAGTCTTGAATTAGAACAAAGAGAAATGAAAACTCAAGAGTACATGGCTGAAGCTCATAAAAAACAAATTCAGAGCTGATATAAGAAAATCTTTAAAAGCTAACCAGCCTACAGGTGAGAATTCTAAGAGAATGGTGGGGGCATTAAACAGTGCTGCTGTGATTATAGAGACTTTGTTTAGAGATACTAAAATGGGTTGAGTGGCCTACCTCTGCTATTTTAAATTGTGCTTTTGTGAAAAGTAGTCACCAATAACAATAGTGAAAATGAATTGTGCAGTATTTTCAATATGTTTACACTATCAACAGAGTAAATCCTATTAATGATTACTGTTTCTTGATTTACCTTGCCTTTTGTTGAGCTTTTTTCCAATCTTGGTGTATTCTGGGTCTCTAATCTTTCACATAGATGGTGATTGTACAAAATTGGGGAAATATCTGTTGTTTCGTTTTGTACAGATGGCATGCTGTTATTCTGCAACATGAATCTTTTCGATGAAGCTGGTTTTAAGTAATGCAAGTTGGTGACGTTACACACTTGATGTGCTCTAGTCAATCTGTCACTGATTGGTAGTTTGTCAGGAATTGTTTATTTAATTTTTGTCAATTGCTTTAGTACCTTTGATTAGTCATTTTTATGTTGACATGGTTGTCACTTCATTAACTGTTATACTGAGAGATTACATGCATGCATTGTGATAAAATGTCTATAATTAAAATAATGGCATATTTGTATTGATTACTTTCTATAAAGGGTGCTTCAAAAAAATAAGGTCAGAAAGTTCTTCTGGAATACTGACCTAATCCGAGAGTAGATGACTGTAAACCTTGGTGGTGTTAATAGAAGTTTGTTTATACTATTGGGTTTTTGACAGAGTAAACATGAAAGTTTAAACATTGTTTTCAATTCAAAATACTCTAGGATAAGCGAGTTGATTTTAACTTCTGATCAGAAGACATGAGTGTTGAGTTTAGAAGCCAGTTTAGTTTCATCTCTTGAATAATGAATCAGGGCAGTTCAGGGAATAAGTTACTTTAGCAGAAGGGCTTAGTTTGTGAAACATTCAAACCAGGGCAGTTTGTTTAGAAATCTGCATGTTGTTAGCACTGAGGAAGTTTAGGCTTTCAGATTTGAGGAAAAGTTCGATTTGGCAGATTGGAAAGAATTCTTCTGATTTTCTTTGTGGTCATAGAGTAATAGATTGATACAGCGTGGAAACGGACCCTTTGGTCCAACCAGTCCATGCCAAATATAATCCCAAACTAATCTAGCCCTACCTGCCTGCTCCTGGCCCATATCCCCGTAAACCTTTCCTATTTATGTACTTATCCAAATGTCTTTTAAACATATTAATTGTACCCACATTGACCACTTCCTCAGGAAATTCATTTCACCTGCGAACCACCCTCTGTGTAAATAATTTGCCTCTCATGTCTTTTTTAAAATCTCTTCTCACCTTAAAAATGTGCCCCCTAGTCTTGAAGTCTCCCATCCTGGGGAAAAGACAACTACCATTAACCCTATCTATACTTGTCATTATTTTATAAGCTTCTACAAGATTGCCTCTCAACCTTCTACGCTCCAGTGGAAAAAAAGTCCCAGCCTATCCAGCCTTTCTTTATAATTCAAGCCTTCCATATCCGACAACATCCTGGTAAATGTCTTCTGAGCCCTCACCAGCTGAATAATATCCTTCCTATAACTGGGCAACCAGAACTGGACACAGTATTCCAGCAGAGGCCTCACCAATGTCCTGTACAACCTCAACATGACATCCCGACTCCTATACTCAAAGGACTGAGCAATGAAGACAAGCTTGCCAAATGCCTTTCTAACCATCCTGTGTATATGTGTCGCAAACTTCAAAGAATTATGTATCTGAACCCCTAGGTCCCTCTTTTCTACAACATAACAATTGTATCAGCCCTAACCTTGTTTGTTGTACCAAAATGCAATATCTCGCATTTACCCAGATTGAACCCCATCTGCTATTTTTCAGCCCATTGACCCATTTGATCAAGATCCCTTTGTAGTCTTAGAAAACCTTCTTCACTGTCTACTATCTCACCAATTTTGGCTTTGTCTGCAAACTTACTAACCGTGCCTTCTATATTCTCATCCAAATCATTTATATAAATGACGAATCAGTCCATGGCAAAGAAACTGTCAAGAGACAGTTAAGTAGAATTCAAAAGAATTGAAATAGAGGGTATAATGTCACTGGTCTTCAGTTTCTTTTAATATATGGTATTGAGAAAAAAGTTGAAAACTTGCTATGTGATTTAAGATCACTCTAACTGTTGTATATATTTATCCATAAGATTTAAGAGCAGAAATACACCATTTGGCCCATCAAATCTACCCTTCCCCTTTAATAATATCATGGCTGATCGATAATCCTCAACTCCACTTTCCT